GTGACAGGAGATGGGGGCTCTGGTCAGGATCTCTGGCACTTGGGTATTGTGCAGCTCAGTCTGTGCCTGCCCTGAGAAGGAGGCCCAGTGACAGGGGCTGGGGGCTCTGGTCAGGATCCCTGGCACTTGGGTGTTGTGCAGCGCTTACCAGTACCTGATGCACCTAGGACCTTGATCATAGCTTTGCAGATCTCTTAGGCTTCCTTGCTCCTTGTGCTAAGTATACAGGATTAGGGTCTGTCTTTCCCAGAGCCAGAATTTCTTTTTTGGGTTAGAGGTTTGGGGAAGGCTGAGGTGTAGCCATTAGCAGACAACCTTGTAGCCTGGCCAGAGAGTGCGTGGGGTGACCGAGCATCTCTCAGTCTTCATCCCTGTCCTTTATCAAAAGTTCTCCAGGCCAGCTCAGTGCCTGTAGCACAGTAGTTACGGTGCCAGCCACATACACTGAGGCTGGAAGGTTCAAATCCAGCCAGGGCCAACTACAACAAAAAAATAGCTGGGCATTGTGGCGGGTGCCTATAGTCCCAGCTACTGGGAGGCTGAGGCAAGAGAAATGCTTAAACCCAGGAGTTTGAGGTTGCTGTGAGCTATGATGCCATAGTACTCTACCCAGGGCGACATATGAGACTCTGTCTCAAAAAAAAAAAAAAAAAAAACATTTTCCAGGGCAGACATTGCATCTTACTTCCTCTGCACATCCTTAGCTCACAGCTCAGGGCTAGGCAAAGCAGATGCTTGATATACTTCCACGAAATGAAAAAGTACCTCCAAGAAGCAAATGCCATCCAAGCCTTGCCAAGAGTCATCATCAGGTCTCCACAGCATTACTCATTATGCTGGTATGGGGCCTTTCCCTGCCCCAGGGCCATAGTGCCCCACAGAGGTTCGGGCACTTCTGGTGAATAACTCTTGTCCCGCCCATTGTGATGAGATGGCTACAGGATACCTGTGGAAACCCCAGAGTAGGAAGGCCTGTTCCAACAAGAATGCTATTTGTTGGGGCAGCGCCTGTGGCTCAAAGGAGTAGGGCACCAGCCCCATATGCCAGAGGTGGCAGGTTCAAACCCAGCTCCGGCCAAAAACTGCAAAAAAACACAAAAGAATGCTATTTGTCTCCCTCAGGATGGAGAAGGACGAAAGAGCTCTCCAGATGCCAAGTATATGGTTGAACTGCAGAAAGAGGTATGTTCTGGAAGGACCTGTTGCCTCCCTTGCACTCAGGCAACAAGGCTTTAGTGTCTGCTGTGTGCTTGGCCCTTTGTGCACCTGCAGCAGGGAGAGGGCAAGTAGTTCCTCCCTTCAGAGACTTCAGTCTCTATGGAAGGCAAGAAGAGCCCCAGTCCCAGCTCCACCTCTCAGGTGCTCAGATGGGAGTGAGGAGGAATGCACGGTCCAGGCCCCTGACCTCCAGATTCATACTTAGGGAAAGAAAAAGGAAGAGGGCTGAGAGGCAGACAGAAGATTCTAGAACAAACTGGCCTTCTCTGCCCTCAGATGGACCCTGCTGGCAGGAGTGTGGCTAGCATGCCTGGCACCAGTGCAGGATCCAGGCGGCATAGCTCAGGTGGAGCTGCCCACCCTCAAGGAAGCTGTAGGAAGTATTGCCTTGCTTGTTAGGCCTCACCTAAAAGTTCACCCTCTCTTTCAAAGCCCAGGAATCATAAGAAGTGTGGAATTGGGCCAGGCCTGGTGGCTCATGCCTGTAATCCCAGCACTCTAGGAGGCCAAGGTGGGTGGATCGCTGGAGCTTAGTAGTTCCAGACCAGCCTGAATTGGAGCGAGACCCTGTCTCTAAAATATAGCGGGGCAGGGCTCGGTGCCTATAGCTCAAGCAGGTAGGGTGCCAGCCACATACAGCGGAGCTGCCAGGTTCAAATCCAGCCCAGGCCTGCCAAACAACAACAACTACAACCAAAAAATAGCTGGGCGTTGTGTGCCTGTAGTCCCAGCTACTTGGGAGGCTAAGGCAAGAGAATTGCTTAAGTATAAGAGTTTGAGGTTGCTGTGAGATGTGACACCATGGCACTCTACCCAGGGCGACAAAGTGAGGTTCTGTCTCAAAAAAAAAGTGGAATTTTGATTTCTGGACCAGTTCCAGAAATCAATAGTTACTATTGGCTGTCTCTGTAGCTAGACCTAAGCTATTACTTTGAATTCTGTTACTCTCATACAAAGCAATCCTGAGAAAGGGCCTGGATGAGAGTGAGGCAAGAGAGGCCTCTTAAGTATGGCCTTTTTTTTTTTTACATGTAAATTATCCTTCAGTAAAGTTGATGGATAGTTTTATTTTGTTGACGGAGTCTTAAGCTGTTGCCCTGGGTAGAGTCCTGTGGTGTCATAGCTCACAGCAACCTCCAACCTTCAGCTTGAGCTCAAGCTATCCTCTTGTCTTAGTTTTTTCTATTTTTTTTTTTAGTAGAGATGGTGTCTCGATTTTGCTCAGGCTGGTTTTGAACTTGTGAACTCGAGCAATCCACCCGCCTGGACCTCCCAGAGTGCTAGGATTATAGGTGTGAGCCACTGCTCCTGGCCAAGTTGATGAATAGTTTTGTTTGTAAGTTCCCTTTTTTTTTTTGAGTCACTTGTGCATCCAGATTGACAATCTGTGGATTATCTTGATTCCTAAAGGCTCTGCCCCCAGTTCCCAAAGCTGCTTCAGAGATTGGCATGTATTAGAGCTCATTCAAATCTCAGACAAAGACAGCCATGGGAACACAGAGTACAAGGAGTTGGGGTGACTTCAGGGCCCTCAACTCTTCTCCCTCTTGCTTTTCCTGTCCACCAGGTAGCTCTGCTGCGAGCCCAGCTGGCCTTGGAGCGGAAGCAGAAGCAGGACTACATTGCGCGCTCAGTGCAGACCAGCCGGGAGCTTGCAGGCCTGCACCATAGCCTGTCACACTCACTTCTTGCTGTGGCCCAGGCTCCTGAGGCCACAGTCCTGGAGGCTGAGACCCGCAAGCTGGATGAGTCCCTGACTCAAAGTTTGACATCCCCAGGGTCAATCTTGTTACTCCCCAGCCCAAGCCCCAGCACTCCCCAGGCCACTTCCAGGTAGCAGCCACAGCCAGGACAGGCCCTTAGGTCAGCCTGGGAACACACAGACAGATGACTGTAGAGTAGGTCACAGTCCCTCCACACAGCTACAGGCATGCTAAGGGTATGGCCTGGCTCTGTTACCCTGCCTGGGAGCCCCAGGTCAGGTGATGCTCCCAGGAAGAAGAAGGAAACCTGCAAGGCTGTGGAGGGCCCCTGCTCACCTGGCAGCGAGCTACCCTTGCAGTCACGAAGAGGAGGACCTTGCCCTGACTGCGGGGCATCAACTGCCTCTTGTCTAGAATTTATTTTCCTAGAACTTCACATTCTCCCTCAACTTCCCCTTCAACAATAAACCCTGAATTTTTGCTTTATTTCTCTGCTGTCTCCACTTACATGGCTGGGCAGCAACAGCACATCAAGGGAGTTTAAGGAAGAATTTGCTAAAGATTCTGTCATGTGGCATCAATCTATGGTAAGCATGCACTGACAGGGAGGCTTACAGAAGATACACAAGACAAAGCTCTTGTCCACAGAGGACCTGCATTCCAACTGACTTAGCACTCACTGATCAGTCAGTGCTGTGCACAGCTGAAGGCTAGAGCACTTCAGAGGCTAACAGTGCTCCAGGGGCTGAGGACGGGAGCTGTGAACTGGCCCTTGAGGGGAGATGTGGAGTCAGATGCTGCTGAGCAGCAGTGACAGCCTGGTCTGGCTGTGGCAGGGCCTGGGGCCATGGTTGCAGGTGGGGAGGATTATGGAGGGTTTCTAGTGCTAACTTAGACAGCAAGGAACCTTTTAATGGTTTTATTTTATTTTTTTTCCTGAAACAAAAGTCTCACTTTGTTGCCCTGGCTAGAGTATAGTGGCATCATCATAGCTCACAACAACCCCAAACTCCTAAGCTGAAGTGACCCTCCTACCTCAGCCTCCTGAGGAGCTAGGTCTACAGGTACCCACCATGACACCTGGCTAAAGGTCTCACTCTTCCTGAAGCTGGTGTCTAACTCCTGTGCTCAAGAGATTCTCCAGCCTTGGCCTCCCAGAGTGCTAGGATTATGAGTGAGCCACTGCACCTGACCTGTTTGATGTTCTTGGCTTAAAACATCTTCTAAAGTCTCAAAAACACTGAGTTGACCTTTGGCTGAGGTCAAGTTCATGAGCTCCATCTGGCCTCATTCTCCTACTCTGAGCAAATGCCATTGAGGTGTCCCTTCCAGGGTATATCAGCTAGAACTGACTGGTCCCTGTAGTCCAGCCATCTGTCAAGCCACTCAGGAGGATGGACTGCAGCAGAACTTGTCACTTAATGGACTGGCCCTGGTGGAAGCAGTCAACTGGACCCAACTCACAGTTAAGACCTATTTTTGGCAACTTTCTCAAAGTCTGAGAACAGTTTTCTCTACAGAAGCAGGTCATGACCTTCCTCTGGTACTCCAGCCATAGTCTAGAATTTCTCTTCCCTAAGCCTAGAGATGGAACTAAGGCCTAAGAATGTAGGGGTTTGGGGGCAGCACTCACCCAGACCTACTGATTGGGCCTCAGCCTCATTGTATCCCATCACACCACAGAATGGAAATGGGGCTATTTACAACTGTGGTTTTGTTCCAAAAGCCCACATGTGCAACTCAGCAACAGATGCTTAGTAAAAATTTACAGTTCAGAACCCCTAGAATAGGTCTGGATCCCAGAGATACTGGCCTGGTCCTTCCCTCCAGTCACAATCCCTATGGCTCAAAATCCTCTCCTGACCTTTAGGCTTTTTATGTTTTTAGGAGTTCGCAGGGACAAACAAGACTTCTCTTGGTTGCTAACTTTTATGGTCCTCCATTTGTGGTTCTTTGGCCCAGAGGCTGATAGGAGCCCTGTGTTTTACCTTGGAGTTTCTTCCTCAGTACCATTGTATATCGGTCATGAGCCAAGACCAGAAGCTCCACATACCTTGTGGGAATCAGGGAGATTCCAGTGAGTGGAAAGACATTTTAGAGGCTGCTAACAAGGGTCTTTATTCAGGACTAGACTAACCTCTTACTTGTTCTTCCCTCCCCATCCAACGCTCCACTGTAGACCCCAGTCTATCCTCTCTCCTCCCCACCAGATACTCAGATCCAAGTTGGCCTTCAGTTTCAGTATAGGCCATGCTCTTGCCTTCACACTAATTTGTAGATGACGGTCTGCTCCAGCTTTTTTTTTTTTTTTTTGAGACAGTCTCACTTTGTCACCCTGGGTAGAGTGCTGTGGCATCACAGCCCACCGCAACCTCAAACTCTTGGGCTTAAGCAATCCTCTTGCCTCAGCCTCCCAAGTAGCTAGGACTACAGGCCGGCTATTTTTCGGTCGTAGTTGTCATTGTTGTTTGGTGGGCCCAGGCTGGATTTGAACCCACCAGCTCCAGTGTATATGGCTGGTGTCCTAGCCGCTTGAGCTGCAGGTGCCAAGCCTCTGCTCCAGCTTTCTAATGTACACTGTCCTTGAGCCAGTAGTAGGATGTCCTCTGTGTAGGGTCCCACCGGTAATGGTGCCCACTGCTCTTTCCATCAGTGAGAAGTATGAAGGAAGCAATGTGGGCCATCCACACAGGACCCGGCCTTGCCTCTGGCCATGAGTCCAGAATGCCCTTGTCACATGCAGCAGGGCACAAGCCAGGTGGTAGCTCCCATAGATGGGAAATGTCCTTGACCAGCCAGCCAGTTCTCACAGATGTGTTTAAGGAAGGTGCAGCTGATGCCCAGATCCTGGGGCAAAGAATGTCAGAGCTCAGCCACGAGGTGGTCTTTCATACAACTCCCCCTTCCTAATCTCTGCCTGCTTTGATGGAGGCTGCTACAGGCTGGAAAGAGGGCAATAGTCAGGTCAGAGACTCAGTAGAGTTCTTGTTTCCAGTTCCTGGGTCTGGTGGGTTCTGCCCTCTTTTGTCTTGATAAGCCTCCCCACACTGTTAGAGCTGTGACCATCACCTTAAAACCTAACTACCATTTCTGCCTGCTTCCCCACATGGGAATTCCTGCATTTATGAAGGCAGAACAGCTGCCTGGCATAAATTCCCCCCCAGAGATGGAGAAGCTGGTATTTGTTGGGATGAGGAAGATGGGGAGAGGACAGCTACAGGCCCCTGCAGAGAGAGCAAAGATTCACATCTACAACAGAATGCTAAGGGCTGTCTGCTCCAGGCCTGGGGCCTCTGTACTACCTGATGAAACCACTGGAGTCCATACAGGTCTGGAAGCTTCAACAATACCCACGCACATAGGTGCTCCCACCCAGGTCATCAGCATTATGGGTGCATTAAGTGGAAGGAAGTTCAGTTGCTCACATCATCCTCAAAGCCCAGAGTGGGGCCTGGTTCATTTTGCAGAGACAGGAAAGCAAGTCAAGGCAGTAGGGCTCACAGCCTGGTGCTGCTCCCCCCCACACACCCTGTCCCACCCAAACACAGTGTTCAGAGCTTTGATGAGGACCTTGTCTGCCGAATACACATAGCACAGAACCATCACGGTCAGATCTCAGGGTCTGGCTGTGGCATGGGAACAAGTTGGAATAGTTTCTCCTTGGCCAGCTGGAATTGGGTCGGGTTTCCTGGCCTTGGTGCCTATGGAGAAGAAGAGAGACTACTTATCATTTGATAAGTACAAGGGAGAGGCTAGACTTCACTGGAAATGAAGGCACAACAGAGAAAGGATCAAGGAGAGGATGCAGCCCAGAGCATGGGACGACCATTCACATGCCTCTGTAGATGGGGCTGTGGCCAATTCCATCAGCCTCTTCAGGCCGTTGCCCTGATCAAAGCAGGCAGATACCCTCTGCAGGTGGAGGCAGGCTGTGCAGATGTGGTGCTGTGAACAGCCACAGATCTGCAGCTATAGAGCCAGGAGCAGAACTTCCAGAAGGACCTGTGGAGGTGGAGAAAGCCCAGGCCCAAGGCTTTGCATGCAGCCCCCACCTCAGCTCATGGGACAGATCCCCTGATTGTCTTAGTTTGGCCCTGGGGCAGATGAATCTTTGGCTATCACCCCTGCACTATCTCACCTCCTGCCTTCCTCACTACCTTGCAGAGCAAAGACAGTAGGGACATGGGTAGGGGCAGAGAGGGGAAAGCGAGGGCTGCTAGTGTGCTCTTGGCCATGAGACCTCTCCATGTGATCCTGAGCACAGTGAGAGAGGGACATAAGCTTGACTCTGCTCATCACACTTAGAAAGCAGGCAGGGGAGAAGGAAGGGAAAAAACTGAGGGTCTCAAGGCCCTGGGGCTCTTTTATAACCTCTACCCTGCTGGGCCCTTTATGGAAATCCGGGTGAGAGTGGTGAGAGCTGAGGCTTCTTTGGACTGCTCTGGCCCAGTGATCTCACCCAATCTAATTATATCAGTAGCTTGGTCATAGAATGGACACCATGACCTCTTCTTAGCCTTTTGTTGCCAATGCCACCAGCTCTTTGCCTTCATAGGGCCTGAAGCTTGGCTCAGTGGGAGGGCTTAGAGGTAGAATACTGAATGGGTCAGGGCTCAGAGGAGAGATGAGAGTCTCTGCCAAGGCTGTGTGATACATCATCCGAGAGTGAGCCAGTGTTCCCTATTCTCAGCACATGGCTCTTTATTTGAAGGCGAGGGGGACACGAGCACTGGGGCAAGTTCACAAACTTAATTATCATGCCTCCTATTTTAACTCACTGCTGGGTTGTTCCTTGAGTCTTAAGGTTCCTAAACAGTTCACCTCATTTTATACATCTTCCAGAGGCTTGATGTTTTTTTTTCAGGTATTTTGTTAGATGTTTTTAGCTGGCTTCAGTTGGAGGAATAGGGAAAATTTTCTCCAACTTGTCTAGAACCAGAAGTCTACTCTCTTTATTCTTTTTTTTTTTTTAGGGACAGAGTCTTACCTCCTGGGCTTAGGCGATTCTCTCTCCTCAGCCTCTCAAGTAACTGGGACTACAGGCACCCACCATAATGCATGGCTATTTTTTTGTTGCAGTTTGGTTGGGGCTGGGTTCAAACCCGCCACCTTCAATATATAGGGCCGCTGCCCTACTCTTTTATTTTTTTTTTTTTTTTTTTTTTTTTTTTGAGACAGAGCCTCAAGCTGTCGCCTTGGGTAGAGTGCAGTGGCATCACACTCACAACAACCTCAAACTCCTGGGCTCAAGCGATTCTCCTGCCTCCACCTCCCAAGTAGCTGGGACTACAGGTGCCTGCCACAACACCTGGTTATTTTTTGGTTGCAGCCATCGTTGTTTGGCAGGCCCGGGCTGGATTCAAACCCACCAGCTCAGGTGTATGTGGCTGGTGCCTTAGCCACTTGAGCCACAGGCGCTAAGCCTACTCTCTTATTCTTTTTTTTTTTAAGAGACAGAGTTTTGCTTTGTTGACCTCTGTAGAGT